TAATCTAATCTAATGTCTGGTACAACTAGCCAAATCTAAGCTGCTCTATAAAGTTCAGCTTTAGGGGGTGCTACTTAGCTATTTTTCATTGTTTATTTAAATAATAACCCAAATCATTTATTTTCTGACATCAGTAGCTTAGGGCACTGAACTGTGAAAAACAGTCACATGATACAATTAATACTTGGTTACACAACTATTTTATTTGAATGAAGGGGGTTCTACTAATTTTTATCCATGAATGTTTGTTTACAACTAAGCAAGCTGCAAAGTAAACAAATAAGATATAAAAAAAAAACAATACCACAGTTATAAGATGCTGATAAATCACAATGTTTGATCCATACTGCAGTATAGTGTATTTTGTGTTTTTTATAATTGTTTCAGTATTTGAATCTACTGATGTCGTAATTTGACTAGATGAAGAATTACTCAGTTACCCAGTTCCTTTGTTTACTATAGATCTACGTAATCACATGGATGTATTTACAGCAGGGATGGGGTCCTGAGAACCATCTTGGTCTTGGTCTCTGGTTTTTCCCTGTATAGGGCTTACGCACTGTCTTTAAATCTTTTTGCCTTGGTATTGGTCTCATTTTGTCCAGCCTAAGGTATTGAAACCGGTTAGTTTTTTGTATTAAAAACAAGATAGTAATAATGATAATGATACAAAACATTACTTCCTTTGAATGTCACCTGTGGGTGCATTTCGCAATGTAAACTAAAACCAGCATCAGTGATCAGAGCACAGCTGGATGCTGCCATCTTAGACAAAATAAAATATCATGGCTCATAATGTCCCTGCAATACATAAAATAGCATTTATTTTTTTTTTTTATTATTGCCACTTTTTGATCTATTACTTAAAACAAGCAAACATCTATCTGCATTATTGCTTTCATGGAAAACACACATCTGTCTCAGATGTTTTTTTGGAAATTATAGAATTTGATTATCAAAAATATGAAGCGTTTGAAAAAAGGGAAACAAAGATATAAGAAAACCAGTAAATTCTGTTGACCCCAATGATAAAGAGGGACGAACTCAAGTTTACTTTACATTTACACTCCTGATCAAAATCTTAAGACCAGTCAAAAAATTGCAAGAATTTGCGTTTTTCTACACAGGTAGCAGGATCCAGGCTTCCAGGTTTTAACAGAGCTCTGGGACAGGAGGGTTCAGAGTCTGACTGGGACCAGAACCATGACCAGGTGGTCACGCACCGGAGCAGACAGGATCAGGTGCAGACAGGCAGGCTCAGTGGAAGAGGGTAGCCGAGACAGGACGTGGAACCGGAACTTGAAGCAGGACTTTAAACTGGTCTCCTCCCTGGAGCCAGGCTTACTGAGAAAAAAACTGAACCTCCCCACATATAGAGCCAAAAACCCAGAGGACTCTGTGGGGGAGGAACGGTGGACAAT